TGTCAAACTGTGTGATAAAGAAGCGGTCGGGTAGCGTTCGCGCGTCACGCCGAACACCCGGGTTCGATTCTCGACATGGGTACAATGTGTGAAGCCCATTTCTGGTGACCCCCGCCGTGATATTGCTGGAATATTGCTTAAAGCGGCGTAAAACCATACTCACTCACTCACTCACTGTCATGTCATACGGTGTGATATATATATAACCTGCTGTCGTGCCATACGGCGTGATATTATATCCTGCTGTCATACTGTGTAATGTATATCCTGCTATCATGTCATACTGTGTGATATATATCCTGCTGTCATGTCATATGGTGGACAATATATCCAACTGTCGTGCCATACGGTGCGAAAGAGGCGACTAACGGGATCGGGTGGTCAGACTTACTGACTTGGTTGATGAAGCATGTCATCGTATCCCAATTGCGTGGGTTGCTCATGATGTCTATCACTGGATTGTGTGGTCCAGAATCGATTTTTTTCAGACCGCCGCCATATAGCTGGAATATTTCTGAGTGAGGAGTAAAACAACAAACAAACAAACAAAAATCTGTTGTTAGAAAAAGTGTGTATGGCTACACACATATCTGGAGGCAAAACAAACCATGCTTTGGAAAGCAGTGTTAAATATAAATGGTGGATTATATATACTTTGAATCTTAAGAGATTGCTTCAATTATCACAGGCGTTCCAAGTCAGTAAATTATAGAAAACATCATTAATAAAAGATACATTCGGAAACCTTTGAAAAAGAAATGATTGAACATGGAAAATATATCAATGATCTAGCCGGAAAATCTTCAGAAAAGAAAGTATTTTTCGTACAAGGTATCACAAAATGCTTACAAACTACAAACACATTGACTATACAGCGATGACGTCCTACCATACAGGAACACAATTATGTAAGATGGTATACGTCATGAAGGCTATTACAAGGGACAAATAACTTCACTGTCAAGTGAGTGAGTGAGTTGGGTTTAACGCCGCTTAGAACAGTATTCCAGTTATATCACGGCGTGTCAGCTTGATGTTCGAGGAAAGCCCAAAGTGATGGAGGTCTTAGACGTTTACCATGGTGCTGACATATCCTTCACCACGGGATCCTTGGTTGTGTTCAGGGAAATTTGACAGCAAATCGCTACATGAATCAAATTCTTCAACCTCACCTTCATCCCATCATTGACCGGCAGAGGGAGCTATTTCAACAGGACAACGCTCCATCGCACACAGCTCGTGTCACGGTTGACTACCACCATAATGCCAACATCAATTCTTGCCCTGGCCGTCGAGATCTCCAGATCTCAACCCAAATCGAACATCACTGGCATGAACTCGATCGACGTGTACGTCTACGTCAGCACGTGCACACGCCGCAGACATTCCTACAACCGGCCAATGCGTTACAAGCAGATTAGCGCAGAATTCCGCAGGACAGAATTCGTACACTTATCCACTCAGTGTCGAGGAGATGCAGAGCCGTGATTGCTGCCCGGGGCGGTCACACAAGCTACTGAGTTCAGCGCTACCTTGTGGCTTTATGTGACATGACAATGAACAGTTTTCAATGCCTTTGTATAACGACAACATGTGACTATCGACCTCCAAAATGTCATATTTGTTTCTATGATATTAAATTAAATATATCGACTTGATTAGGTACAATAAATTTACAAAAAATATACATGTGCGTTTATTTTTTTTAAAGAGTATATATAGAGAATCTCATCCGAGTGCCTTTTGATATCAAATATATCAACACGAGTTGATAAAAGTGGAAAATCTCTGAGGCTTGCCGAGGAGTTTTTCCACCTATGTCAACGAGTCTTGATATGTTCGATATCAATAGACACGAGGGTGAGATTTTATTTATCATCTAACACCATTCTTCCAACCTTTTCAGTTTGTAGACAGTAATAAGCAGTGTGTTAAAGGGGAAGTGTACACGCAAAAATTACTTTCTTTCTTTTTCTAAACAAAACGCAATTTTAGAATTAGTTAGTATCTGTGTTTGAAAATATACACTCATTTTTTTCACAGTGAAAGTAGGAAGCTCACAATAGTGTGAAAATGATATGCCGTTATGAGGCCTTCGTTTTTCGAGCTAAACAGGCCTGAGTTATCTCCCTTAGATTATGACGTAATTGGTGCCAATTCAACTGGGTCCCTGTCTATTCTGAACGCAAAAGATATCAAGTACAAGTTTTCGGTAAAACAACATGGCCTACGACACACTCCGGCGCAGTGGTGACTCAGCATAACACTATGCTGGCTGGCATCTGAGACGCTAGAATCACACACCTGTACCTACACCACGTGAAGCGGCTCTAACAAAGCATGATGACGTCATAATGTTTATCAATTGGCACCAATGACGTCATATTGCAAGGGGCATAAGCCATGGTGTTTTTGTTATGGAAATAGAACACTTGGTAAATGTGAAAAATATAAATCGTTTTAATGCAAAACATATGTTGATTAATTGTGATATTTTTATATTTTTGTCTATGACACTTCTAGGTTAACACTTTTATTGTGGAAAAAGTACAAGAAAATTAGGTTCATTTCCGTGTGAACTTGCCCTTTAAGTGTAAAAAGTACTGCTAACAGCTTCAGTAGCAGAGCAATTAGTGATGTCATTTGATTGTGACGTCATGGTAACCAATGACGTCGCAGTGGTCTGCAAAGCATTGTGATGCAATTTCAATTGCACCCAAGCGATATTATCTCCTCATTCGTCACCACCCGCCCCTTTCCGTAACCTCCAAGAAGACTCGTCCCCCTATCGATGAATGTTATGTTCGAAAATACGACAAACCAATCAGAATGCGCGTATGATTTCAAGTTCTTCGTCAAAGAATCCCTCAGAAATAATTTTTGATTTAATTTACATATGTCTTGCATCTAAAAATATACCCAGGACACAGTTAAATGTGTTCAATCATACTGTATAATTTCGCATGTCCCGGGGTGCTTTAAATTGCTTCTGAAATATATGTAATATGTGGGGAAATATATGTGAACCATTACGCAACGAGTTGATAATTGTTTTAGGTATGCCCGTTTACGCTAAGACGGAACCCGGTCACAAAAATGGCCACGAGAGGGGCACGAGTCGCTATTCGGCTTGTCCCGGAATAACACGAGTTGGTCACGAATGATTATCTCCTATGAGAGCCAGTTTTGGATGATAAATGTAGTGCATGAACATGATGAAGAGACCAGGCAAAAATTAGAAATTTGCTTTGTAGTTCTTCGTTGCGTGGCGAGTGTACTGGGTATATTACTTCTGTCACAAAAGCTGCAATCAAACAACACAATCTTTTTTTGTGCCGTAACCTCCTTTTCAGCTCAGTTTAGTATTTGTTTGGTTTTTATTTGATATAATAAATAATACTTCGCTAATTAGTATTACCTTTCCTAATGGCTTGCAAAAGAACGTGTGCAATCCACCACCGCCCCTTTACCATAGAGATATTAACATATAGCAAGGAATACTATAGAAAAATAAGTCGTTCATTCTCTGATGATCAAATATTGTATTTATATTTTCAACGTCCGTATAGTCATTTTATAGACAATACCATAGACCACATGATCAATTGATACATTTTACGGTGGCCGTCCCGACACTATAAGTTCATTTGTACACGTGTTGAGATATACAGATTTTACATCCGCTTCAGCAGAGGCTATTCCATTTACAGAGAGGGGATGCACTTAAAATTAAATCAAAATGTTCGATGAATGCACATTATTAATCCGGAAACAACTTGCTTTTAGAAACCCAAACTTAGTCAAATAATCATATTTTTTGCTTAAATACCAAATATTACCAAATGATTCGTTGTCTGAATTGTATACGTTAACACGATCGGTGTGGTTTAATTAAATTTATATTTGATTCCAGGTTAGATTTGCCCCTAGCTACCTCTCCGGGCAGACGCTCTATCCACTAGACCACGGAGCACGGAGGCGGTCAGCATGAAAATGATGTGTATCTTCGTTAAGTATTTGCCCCCCTTGAATTCCAGGTTAGATTTGCCCCCAGCTATCTATGCTTGCTGTGCGAAGCAACTAAACAGATCATGATCAGGTGGATTGCGTGCCCATACATCAATTGAATGGGATACTGCTCATAATATCAATCTCCGGTTTGTCCGGTGCAGATAAGATTATGTACAGGCCGCCATCAATTATGTTTGAATATTGCTCAGTCCGGCGTTAAACAAAAAGCAAGCAAATATGGTAACTTGTATCTAAATCTTCCCCTCAACTCGTGCTTGAAACTATCGGAAGGAAGATATTGCTTAAAAAAAAGGGAAGATTCTGTAAGAGCCTGTACAGGTGGGAAATGTATTAGATAAATTAATAGCAGATCAGTTCGAGAAAGCAAGATCTTACAGTCAGTTTCATGCCCATTATTTCAGCTTCCAAACAGCAAGAATCTCAAAAGGGGCAAACTTGAACCGTAAGCAGATTACCACAGGGTGTGGAAGTCTCAGTTTTCAGCTTTCTAACAGCAACGATTTGAAGGAAAAATAACTTTAATAAACACATGAGATTGAATGGTACATTTATACTCACTAGGTTTTACCTATTTTATATCATTATTAACATATATTTTGAAAATTATACACATTTGCGGGTCATATATATATAACAGTGGTTTTGATCGGTTATTTTAACGTTTCGCCCCTCATTCCCCCACCCCCATAACCCTCCCCCACCCCCTTTGATATCAAATATATCAACACGAGTTGACAAAAGTGGAAAATCTCTGAGGCTTGCGTCCCGTCTCCAACCCACCCCCACCCCAACAATATTTTGAATACATTTGTTGATTCATCACCGATGATCCTCTTTCCACCGATTGGCATAACTTGAAGGCGTTTGGTTGTCTGCTCTCTAATAGACGGTTACCCAGTGTTCGTTTGCTCTCGACAGAGAACCAGTCTAACTGAGTAGTAACTCTTCAGGGTTAAAGTTAGAAAATCATCAGTTTAGGAGCAGAACAAAATAACTATGCCCAAATAACCGTTAAAGCTGTGTAAACATTCGACCACGTGAGGGTAAACGCATGCGAAATGCCATACAAAACATCTCTTGGCCTACATGTCAGACTGTCAAACAATTTTATTCATCTTTCACCAATTTTTAGCATGTATTATGAACACCGGAAGTCGGTGGTCGTACAGGTAAACATAAACAAATCGACTGACGCAGCCTTACGTGCATTAGGGGACCTAGTCAGTGCGCATGAATAGACCATGGTGGCTGTCGATCCTTTACCTGATCCTTATCAAAGTGTCACTTGTTGACGGTTTAGTTTATCGCTCCTGTCCTACATGTGCCAATGACGTTAATATAACCGCGAATCGTACACCAACCACCAACACGAGTCGGAACGACCAAAACAAAGAATGGCATCAGGTGGTTGTGGTAACAACGTTATAGACATAGATGGCTTTGATTTATCGGAAATTTTAAAAATCGCTGATGATGTTGAATGTCGTGGTGGTGCCGTCGTGGACGGCGGGTGTCGTGGTAGTGTTGAGACTGGTAATGGGCCGAGAAGTGGAGAGGATCTCAACTCTCACATTGATGGAGAAGTTTCAGGCTGTGGGAGTATTGATGAAAAAGAAGTTTCTCACGACAAACAAGAGACACAAAAAGATGTAAGTGTCCAATAGTTTTAGTTTCTGCAGAATAATCCTTTAAGTTGTATGGCAGTTGTTTCAAAACTCAGCAGTTGAATATCTTAAATTTGGCAAAGTTTTGTTTATTCATGTGAATCCGTAATCTACAAAAAAATAATTCCTCTTTGTAAAATTGAAAAAATGATCAAAAGTTGATTACAGTAATCCCAAAGATGTTCATTTAATCTCTTGATTCAACTGATCCTTAAAATTGTCACTGTACTATTTTGAAAAAATATCTGTTACAGTATACAATATCTAGATCTGTATGGTACTGTTACATGACCTTGTCGTGTAGATGTTAAACTACATAAGAGCAAGATGACATGGAAGGTAAAATGAGTAATGTTTCACGGGGTCTATGTGACCTGTGCTGTACAATAACTTGTGTACTTTACAGACTATTCATAAGAAGATGGCTACAGCAGTGGACTTGCTGAGACGAGCAGTTGAGAGTGAGAAGAGTGCAGACAATAAGGAGTCCTTCAGACTTTACAAGGATAGTATTGAGATTCTGCTGGAAGCTTTAAAAAGTATGGATATTAGACCTTTTAATTTTGATTACCGTATTCTACATAAAAAGCGCTCCGCTCTAATAGTCGCCCACGGCGATATTTGTTAATATATTGGCTAGTGAACAATCCCAAGTAGCACCCCTTCCGATTGATCAATGTACACAAGACTTATTTATTTGTGTATAATACACATTCATGTGTTTTATGCACCCTTAATTATGGACAATTAAATCCTGGAAAATATATCTGCTGTGTATAACACACAGACTTTTCTTTTGCATCATTTCAGGCTGTCAACGTAAACCACAAAATTTACCATCTTTCAACTCTGTTTTTTCTCACTAAAATTATATTCTAATAAGAGCCCCCTATTTCTTATTTTGAGAGCGCCCTGGGCCCCTATTGCATTGAATACGGTAATTGGTTTACAAACTACAGTTCAGTGTAGTTGGTTGAAAATAAAATATAAGTAATTTTTAGCTTCCAGACTAGTACTGCTACAAATGATTGAAAAACAACTGTTTAATTGAATTCTCGAAGTTGGTGAGTAAATAAGAAAAATGTACAACGTCATGGATGACAACTTCTAGTTTATTGCACTGGTGACATATCCATTTTACACCATTCTTGTTTTATCCTGTTAATACTGAGCACCAGGCAGGGTGACAACAAGTACCATTCTTTTAATGTCTTTGGTATGACGCGGTCAGGGCATGAAACCAATGACCTGGTCTCCAGGCAGACTCTCTATCCAATAGACCTCGTGGGTGTACTCATGTAAATTTCAAGCTTTCATTTGTCAGGAGGTTTTCAGATTCATTTACAGATTTCAGAGCTACAGATTAGCTGCGTATTTCCATTAAATAACCCCCCGAAAATATTCAAAACCCAATTACTTTCAATTAATTTGCGTACAGAAACACATGTATTAAATGAAAAACTCATATGTATAAAAACAGCACACATATATACCCAATGAAACATTTTTCCAACAAAACTAATTTCCGAAACACAACTACGAGCAAATTTAGTTCCGAGTCAAGCCTATATTTTCAACCGTTATATACATCTAATACATTATTTCATATTTTTTTTAAATCTCAAAATTAATGTTTACTCATTTTTTGGAAAACCCAAAAGAGTGATGAATAGATGAGTGAAAAAATATTGGATAGCCAATGAAAAATGTAATAACCCAATTGAATTAAAAACTGTCAAGTAAAAACTCAATTGCTCAAAGGTTATCTGGAGCTCTGGATTTTCATGTATTCAATTTGTTAATAGTTTACATGCCAAAATGATAACAAATGTAATATGCAATGACTTGGATATATGATATTTTGCGCACATATCATGATAAAAAGGAATGATTTTTTTGTTACGTTTATTTTCAGAAACAGGCAAAAAGGGAAGGTTAAGAACTCTATTAACGACAAAGATAAAAGCCTTATTGACCAAAGCAAAACATTTAAAAGACCAAATCACAGAAAAAAGGTGAGCGTGAAAATACTACGTGACTTCCACTACTAATGCCTACTACGACTACCACCTGCTGAAACTACTACTACTACCATATTCTTTTACTACTACCACCGCTACTACCACTGCTTCTACTGTAACTGCTGCTACTACTACAACTACTGCTACTACTACTACCACTACTACTTCTACTACCACTACTTCTGCTACTACTACTACTACAACCACAACTTTTGCTACAGCTACTATTACTACTAATACTACCTCTACTGCTACTACTACTTCCTCTACTACTACTACTACTACCACTACTTCTGCCACAGCTACTACCACAACTTCTGCTACAGCTACTATTACTACTAATACTACCTCTACATCTACTACTACTTCCTTTACTGCTGCTACTACTACTACTTCTACTACGAGGTCATTGTGTTAAGCGCTGAAACCAAGGGCATGAGTATGAATAGAGCTGCATTAGTGGTAGAAAAAACTGTATTGTTGGCAGTTATCGACTACTGCTACTGCTCCTACTGTTAAAACAACTACTGTTACTTTTTCTATCAATACAACTGCTACTAGTTCTCTTACTACTTCTACTATTTCTTCCATTACTTTTTCTGCAACTATTTCTACTTGAAATGAGACCCATAATTTAAACGGAGTAGAGAGTTTTCATATTTTGTCATTTTCTGTGAGTATAAAGACAATATAAATGCTGAAAGTTAATGTTTGCAGATTTGCCTTAGATATTGTTGCAAATATGTGTATATGATGGTTTGTAGAGAGGCCAGTGTGTTAAGTAAGGTGCCCCAAAGGTCAGATGAATATGATGAAGCCACGCTAAGGAAGAGGGATTACCTGGCAGGTAGGTACACCGACACCTGCTGGTAGGTACACTGACACCTACTGGTAGGAACACTGACACCTGCTGGTAGGTACACTGACAACTGGTAGGTACACTGACACCTGCTGGTAGGTACACTGACACCTGCTGGTAGGTACACTGACACCTACTGGTAGGAACACTGACACCTGCTGGTAGGTACACTGACAACTGGTAGGTACACTGACACCTGCTGGTAGGTACACTGACACCTGCTGGTAGGTACACTGACACCTGCTGGTAGGTACACTGACACCTGCTGGTAGGAACACTGACACCTGCTGGTAGGTACACCGACACCTGCTGGTAGGTACACCGACACCTGCTGGTAGGTACACTGACACCTGCTGGTAGGTACACTGACACCTGCTGGTAGGAACACCGACACCTGCTGGTAGGTACACTGACACCTGCTAGTAGGTACACTGACACCTGCTGGTAGGAACACTGACACCTGCTGGTAGGAATACTGACACCTGCTGGTAGGTACACTGACAACTGCTGATAGGTACACTGACAACTGGTAGGTACACTGACACCTGCTGGTAGGAACACTGACACCTGGTAGACACTGACAACTGGTAGGAACACCGACACCTGCTGGTAGGTACACTGACACCTGGCAGGTAGGAACACTGACACCTGCTGGTAGGAACACTGACACCTGCTGGTAGGAACACTGACACCTGCTGGTAGGAATACTGACACCTGCTAGTAGGAATACTGACACCTGCTGGTAGGTACACTGACAACTGGTAGGTACACCAACACCTGCTGGTAGGAACACTGACACCTGCTGGTAGGAATACTGACACCTGCTGGTAGGAACACTGACACCTGGTAGACACTGACAACTGGTAGGAACACCGACACCTGCTGGTAGGTACACTGACACCTGGCAGGTAGGTACACTGACACCTGCTGGTAGGAACACTGACACCTGCTGGTAGGAACACTGACACCTGCTGGTAGGAATACTGACACCTGCTGGTAGGTACACTGACAACTGGTAGGTACACCGACACCTGCTGGTAGGAACACTGACACCTGCTGGTAGGTACACCGACACCTGCTGGTAGGTACACCGACACCTGCTGGTAGGAACACTGACACCTGCTGGTAGGAACACTGACACCTGCTGGTAGGAACACTGACACCTGCTGGTAGGTACACCGACACCTGCTGGTAGGTACACCGACACCTGCTGGTAGGAACACTGACACCTGCTGGTAGGAACACTGACACCTGCTTGTAGGAACACTGACACCTGCTGGTAGGTACACTGACAACTGGTAGGTACACCGACACCTGTTGGTAGGAACACTGACACCTGGTAGACACTGACAACTGGTAGGAACACTGACACCTGCTGGTAGGTACACTGACACCTGGCAGGTAGGTACACTGACACCTGCTGGTAGGAACACTGACACCTTGTAGGTACACTGACACCTTGTAGGTACACTGACACCTGGTAGGTACACCGACATCTTGATGGTACATTGACACCTGGTAGGTACACTGACATTGTAATGTTTCTCACTCTTTTGCAGGTTTCATAGAGGATCCGAATGAGAAACTAAACCGGTCCAATATTGTTGGACAGGAGGAAGCTGTAAGTCGCCTTATGGAACACCTCGTTTTGCCTTCGATGTATCCACAATTATTTCGTAAGTGTGGATTTTGTATGACACTTGGTTCTAGCTGCTACAGGAATCCAGATGTTTGATGATGCATTGTTTGATTTGCCAAACTTCTGTTCCAATCTCATTAAAGTCAGATCTCTTACTCTGATATAACACCTTTCTGCATGAACATGTGACAACTGAATGGAAGATTGTATCCTGTGAACTTTCTCATCAGCAACTCAACATTTGTGTTGAGTGTGTGCTTTAATTTGTTATCATCATCTACCCGAGGCAAGGGAGTTCCCTGACTATTTCAGAACATTTCAGCGACTAAAATGATCCATCTTCTCGAGGCAAAGGAGTTAACTGATTGTAAAAGTAGGCAGGAATTTCCAGGCTTGATTTTAGCTTTATGAATTATGCCCCTTCTCTGTCCCTCCTGTTGACCAATCAGATTCCATTTCTCGTATCTCTTGCATTTGCTTCAAATAAAATGGCAGCGCTCAGTCAAGATGATCTCATCAATAATCAAGATCTATATTGTAATAAAACAGGTTTTACCTCGTGAAGTGCGTCAAATCACTTGAGCACCTTGATTAAAATCTTGAAAAGATGTGCACAATATCTAACGACACCCAGTTGGCGGTACACATGGTTTGCAAATCCTTCAGTCGACCGAAATCTGCACGTTGAAATCCATGTCGTTTACCCAGTTTGATTGGACTATGCATAAACTTGTTAGTCCGGTTTGTCCGGAATTCCAGCCAAGATCGGCAAGCGTGGGAGCAAACTGGACTTTTGTAGTCAGTTAACGCCCTTGCCTCAGGAAGATGGTTATCATTGAAGTTACCCAATTCAGTTGGTAAAGATACGAAGCTGATTTGTTTAGAAAGCTGACTTCTGCATGATGGGGTCAAGAACCCATGCATCCTTCATTTAGAATGGGCAGTCAGTTTCCTCAGGGTTCACCTGACACAAGCTTCAATGGAAGGGGTTGTACGACTTCATGCAGACATATTGATGAGGATCACTGACCTTTCCACCCTCCCTCATTTTGATGAAATCTCCCAGTCTCCCCCATGAGAGACTAGCTATTTCTCCTACAAAACAGTATTTTTCATTAAACATTTGGCTCCATTTTCACACGAGTAAAAACAGAACAGGAAGTTTACAATTACGGAAATCTGTATGATTCCTCCCGATCTGTCTGGGAACCTGGATTAGCGACTCCTATAATCATTAGACCCGGATGGACCTTTGTCTAGTAATCAACTGGTACTGAAATCCATGTGATTAATGATTTAACTATGTAAACTGTAAAGAAAACTCAGATAGTCCTTACAGGTGCCTGAAGAGTTGAACTTCAAATGAATAATCAGCTGAGTACTTTTCACTTCCTGAAATGAACTGTTCATGTTCTTAGTGTGTTTATTCCGTATCTGACTTTATTGGTTTTCAGGTTTATCAGAAACTATGTTTAAATGTCAATATACCTCAAAGTTACGCCATTGAACACAAATGAAATGAAAACAAAATATGACCTGCAAATGCCATCTTCAGAAGCAGCACAATCTATGATTGGTTGATTCGGTTGTCGAAAAAACGAGTTACACGATCAGGATTCCTCATCTGGTTTCAAAGTCAGAAGTAAAACTTATGTTCATTTGCCTTTTGGCTGACGTCGTGACTCGTCTGCCCAGAAATATCAAGACCTTGAACTGTGTCAAATTTCACGAGAATGTATAATTTTTCACAAAACAATTGGGTAATAATTTGCATACAAGTCAACCAATGAGGTTAATAAACGTCAAGGTCTGAAAGGTCAACAACGACAATACATTTTATTCATAAATCGGGTAGAATAAGTATCGTACATTGACATCATGAGCATCGTACGTTGACATCACGGGCATCGTGCATTAACATCATGAGCATCGTACGTTGACATCATGAGCATCGTACATTGACATCATGAGCATCGTACGTTGACATCATGAGCATCGTACGTTTGACATCATTGGCATCGTACATTGACATCATGAGCCTCGTACGTTGACATCATGAGCATCGTACATTAACATCATGAGCATCGTACGTTTGACATCATGAGTATCGTACATTGACATCATGAGCATCGTACATATGACATCATGAGCATCGTACATTGACATCATGAGCATCGTACATTGACATCATGAGCATTGTATGTTTGACATCATTAGCATCGTACATCGACATCATGAGCCTCGTACGTTGACATCATGAGCATCATACATTAACATCATGAGCATCGTACGTTTGACATCATGAGTATCGTACATTGACATCATGAGCATCGTACATTGACATCATGAGCATCGTACATTGACATCATGAGCATCGTATGTTTGACATCATGAGCATCGTACATTTGACATCATTAGCATCGTACATTGACATCATGAGCATCGTACATTGACATCATGAGCATTGTACATTGACATCATGAGCATCGTATGTTTGACATCATGAGCATCGTACATTGACATCATGAGCATCGTACGTTGACATCATGAGCATAGTACATTGACATCATGAGCAACATACGTTGACATCATGAGCACCGTTCATTGACATCATGAGCATCGTACGTTGACATCATGAGCATCGTACGTTGACATCATGAGCATCGTATGTTGACATGAGCATCGTACGTTGACATGAGCATCGTACATTGACATCATGAGCATTGTACGTTGACATCATGAGCATCGTACATTAACATCATGAGCATTGTATGTTTACATCATGAGCATTGTACGTTGACATCATGAGTATCAAACATTGACATCATGAGCATCATACGTTGACATCATGAGCATCGTACATTGATCTCATGAGCATCGTACGTTGACATCATGAGCATCGTATGTTGACATCATGAGCATCAAACATTGACATCATGAGCATCATACATTGACATCATGAGCTTAGTACATTGACATCATGAGCATCGTACGTTGACATCATGAGCATCGATCTACCCAGTTTGGATACAATGACATGCATGAACCAAGCCAACGAGCTTCATCCGCCAATCCTGTCAGTCACCTGTTACGACACATGGGTTACTGAATACCAATTCTCAACCAGAATTTCACATGTGCATTTTGCTTTACATTCGATTTTCTACAGGGTGCCATTAATATAGGGCTGTAATACTGCTGGCTGGCATTAACTCACTCACTCACTCAGTTTTAGCTCACCTGACTGTCATGTAGAGCGTGTGTTGTTTCTCTGTGTCGTCCATCAACCAATATTTGTAATGACAAGTAACAGATTGTATATTTTGATATGTTGTGAGATATTTGACAACCTTGACCTTCGTGTACTGCTGTGGCTGCCATAAGTCCCCTTCAGAGCCAGTTATGTATGCATAAATTTGTACTATATAGAATACACAAGGTTATGGTGTGTGAAAGCCCGACTTTGACCATGACATGGCTGTGGTACTGTACAAATGCATAAAGTCATACTCATTTAATATTGTGGCATTTCAGAAAATCGTCGGATGCCAGGCAATATCCTGTTATATGGGGTAAGTGGGTGAATACTTAAACTTTTTAAATTTTTTCGATAGGTTATTTCTGCTATGTTAAAAAATATTCTATTTACTAGAAGAGCATGTTTATGGAAAAGAATGAATAAATACTTCCTCTTGTCACATTCGAAAACACAAACTTAGTTTCTTATTGCTGTTCCCTGCCCACACAAGAGAGTGATAGATATGAGCGTAACTCGTAAACTGTTCAATAATGACGAGTGGGGGTCGGGTAGCCTATTGGTTAAAGCGTTCCAGGGTTCGATTCCTGACATGGGTACAATGTGTGAAGCCCATTTCTGGTGTCCCCCGCCGTGATATTGCTTGAATATTGCTAAAAGCGGTGTGAAACCATACTCACTCACTCACTCTGTGTATGCAGACAAGTGTTGAAGGCAAGTGCCTTTTACTATTTTTGTAAGATTGGTATTTTTCGCATTAGAATGGAAGAAATCACTGTCAACCTAAATTTGTTGTAACACGCAACTTAATCAAGGTAATGATCGGGCTCTGTGACTTTGATGATTCTGAACATCGTACTCTAACAGTTAAGGCCTGACTGTGGGTGTGTTTTGGTTCATTGAGGTATGAATCGGAAAACTGATGTGCTAACTGTATGAATCCGCTTCCTTTAGAAGAATCAAAGCATCTGAGCAGCAGTTGTTGTTGTTTCAGCATCCAGGGACTGGCAAAACGATGGCACTGCGAGCTGTTGCCTCTGACATTCCTGATTTTACTTTCTTCAAATTGTCTATATACGACTTCATGAACAAGTATGAACCAGATGAGGCACGGTATGTAGGATTGACATGCCCGCATTGGGTCTTTGTGGCCAGTGTTCATCTATGTTAGGATGATGATGATGATGATTATGACCAATTCGTCAGTATTTTCTAAGGCCTTCACTTTTTTCCAAAGCATCGGTACCTGGGGATTCATGCTGATTCATCTTCCCAAGCCTCCACTAGCCTTTCTAACAAAGTCACATTTCCACCCTTGTCACATCAAGCCCACTTTCCTGTGCTAAATATGATTGGACTATAGCACATATCAATAGTCCAATCAGAGAATGTTTCACAAAATCACCTTTGTATGAAAGTGACTGACCTCTGCCTGTCTTTGTTGACACGAATATGTCTTTTTCATCTTTTAAACCCCCCAACGATTGCCTATGTTTTTGTGTCAGGGATGAAATTGCAAAAATGTTTTTGTTATCTGATCGACTAGGTCGTCGCCTATGGTAGTTGCCTATGGTAGTTGCCATCTTTGTGAAGCTATACGAGATAAGAACAGCGATCTGATTAGATGTCATGTTTTCATTACAAGGGGCACAACTCATGATCTACGCGAGGTGGCGCCAGGGTCGCGCCAAGAAAAGTGGCCTTGGTGTGGCAAGGGTAGAAACTAGGCTTTGATATAGGATAGTGGACACCCTTGCTTCGGGAAGGTGATGGGGATTCTGGCCTAGAATAGGTCCCCAGCAACCTATACTTGTGTTAAGGGGAAACTAAATTGATCGGATGGTCATTGTATCTCAGTTAAAGTGGATACTCGTGATGTTATTCATAGATGGAATATTGCTGACTGAAGCATTAAACAGCAAACAATGTAAACGAGGTATCAGTGTAATTGTTTGATTGGCATTCTAGGAGTTGGTGAGTAAGTAAGAAAACATACAACTTTATGGATAACATTGAAACGTTGCTATATGCAAAAAAAAACAGAAGTTATAATCCATACAGTTGTACATTTTCTTAAGTATCAGTTCATTGTGTTTCCTTGTGCTATGGGGGCGGTCGGGTAGCCTAGTGGTTAAAGCGTTCGCTCGTCACGCTGAAGACCCGGGTTCGATTCCCGACATGGGTACAATGTGTGAAGCCCTTATCTGGTGACCCCAGCCGTGATATCGCTGGAATATTGCTAAAAACGGCATAAAACCATACTCACTCACTCCTTGTGCTATGATACAAGTATCAAATCGGAAGGTGATATTTTGATACAAAATGAGATATGTATGTATCAGATGGGTATGTTATATTGTTCCAAACTGACATGCAGAGGTTACCCCTGAAATTAGTTTTTTTGTCTTTTGTGAAATCAGTAAATGACCACACACGATCAATGAATAATTAGCAAATAATATTGAAACACAAAATTTTAGGTTTACGATCACCTTAGGCCATACAATGGGTCAAATACGTGGCAGCAGCTACAGTAAATAACAGACTCCATGACACAAGTCATTGCACTCACAAAACGTCCAGAATTATCGTGAAAGATGCTGTGCTCCAAATCCCAAATAGTGTTGGAACCTGGCAGGAATTCAGTGTGTTCAGTCAGGTATCCAATTTTTACTTACAAGTATATAAATATGTGAAGCCCATTCCTGGTGTCCCCCGATGTGATATTGCTTGAATATTGCTAAAAGCGCATAAATCCATACCCACTCACTCACTCACTACATGTAGATAAACTGCAAGTCTGGTCATACAAGGCCTTCAATCTCCCTCCCTGCCTTCAAGAAACCGTCCCAACCCCAAGCCACTCGAATGATCGAGTTTTGTATGTTTGTAAACAGCCAGGGGAGGTAACTCTAGTCACACTTCCTGATAAAATCTTGTCACTTCAGCACTCAATATTTGACGAGCATTTTAGTCACGTGCTGCCACATCTTCCAGAGAGCCGTTAAAATCCAGGGTAGAATAGGTTTTCAGCTACCCATGCTTGCCGTAAAAGGCAACTATGCTTGTAATAAGAGGCGACTAACGGGATCAGGTGGTCAGACTTGCAGCCTTGGCTGGAGCATGTCATCGTATCCCAATTGTGGGGATCGATGCTCATGATGTCAATCACTGGATTGTCCAGTCCAGACTTGATTATTTACAGACTGCCGTCATAAAATTGGAATATTGCTGAGTGCGGCGTTAAACAACAAACAAACAAACAAACCATATGTCTGCATCACCATCCTCTCTCTCTCAATATTGCAAAGGACCCTGTAAGGACCCAGCCCCATATTGCTTGTTACACATGCACAGAAAGGGACAGGATAGGGATGCACAGCAGGATGAACTCGTGAGGAATTAAATACGATGGCCTCCCAGAATTGATGACCACTATTCAATGATTGCAGGAATGTTCGGGAACTGTTCATGATGGCGAGTGAGAGAAAGAACTGCATCATCTGCCTTGAGGATGTTGACAGGATACATCGAGATGAATCAGACCTCAGATTGAGAAGCATCTACACTGAGTTGATGGTGCAGATGGAAGGCTATGCCAAACAGGTCAGGGTTGTGTTTGTCACACAGAGACCCTGGAACCTTAAGAGGCCGTTCAGGAGAAGGTAACTCACCTCTGTAACTCCACTCCGTAACTGGATTTGCCACGTGAAAAACTCTAGATATGTCGTACTGGCTGAATCCTTATCAATGTCCAATTCTGCCTTAGAATAGATCACCAGAAAATGAATCGACTAATTGGATCAAGCTTGGTGATTTTGGTTGCCTCTGTGCCATCATACTCCGACATCGTGGAGCGATGCATATAAGGACTGCCTCTGTGGTCTAGTGGTAGAGCGTCCGCCCAGAGAGCGGAAGGTCCGGGGTTCGATCCCCAGCCACGTCATACCAAAAGATGTTAAAAGATGGTACTTGTTGCTCTGCATTTAGCATGTTTAGGGGCTAAAGCAAGGACTGGTCGGCTCGGAGTCAGTATAATGTGTCTGTCTGGGGTATTCATGTTAAACTGCAGCATGGTATCTCAGTGGGCTAGCACTATAAATTGGCATCAGTTCCGACTAGTACAAGCAGACACACACACACACACATGCATGCATGTCGCTATATAAGTGCAATAATCTTGGATACGACGTTAAACCCCATTTCACCTCACCTCACCTGATGCATATAATATCAATCACTGGATTTTACTAGCTGCTGTCATATAGCTGGAATTTTTGCTGCGTGCGGCGGAAACAATGATTATGGAATTGTGTTTTTATGTTGTCTTCATTTGCTTGTCTCGAACTAGGGACCACATGAGATAATGTTTTTTATGGATGCGAAGACTGTGTTAATCGGTTTCAATAATTATGCCCTATCATGACAATCCTTAAGACAGGTGTTGAAAGATATAACGGAATAGAGTATTTGTTGAAATCTACTCTTTGTTTGAAGGCTATCATCGAGGATTTACTTTCAACTGCCAACTAAAGGAGAACGGATTAATATTTTGAAAGCCAACCTGAAGGAAACTAACCACAAGTTGACAGAAAAAGATTTTGACCAAATTGGGGACCGAACTGCATCGCTTGGGTAGGTTGAAGAAAATGAAGTGCTGTTATAGGATCACAGATAGGTACACAGGGTACCAACTTAAAGTCATAATGGACCACATCCGTTGTCTAGTGGTAGACTGCCCGCTTTGAGAGAGGAAGGTCAGGGGTTCGATCCCCGGCCACGTCCTAGCAAAAGACGTTAAAAGATACTTGTTACCCTGTCTGGCTCGGCATTAAGGGGCTAAAACAAGGACTGGTCGGCTTGGAGTCAGTATACTTTGTCTGAGTTGGGTATTCATGTTAAACTGCGGCATGGTATCTCAGTGAGCTACCACTATAAATCAGCATCAGTCTGGACTAGTACAAGCAAGCACACACACACACACACACACACATGCATATACATCGCTATATAAGTGCAATAATCTTGGACGCGACGTTCAACCTAATTTCACCTCACCTCACCTCTGATGGTATTATTATCATGACATTCAAGAAAACAAGAATAGTCATTTTAACATGTATGCACGTCACTATATAAGTGCAATAATCTTGGATGCGACATTAAATCCCATTTCACTTTCTGATGACAAAAGTCTGAGATAAAAACATCCTGTTTGAAAGTCTTGAATCCTCTTGCTGAGACTGCCTATTGACCCAAGCCCAGTCACTCTTTAGTAGTAGTATTTCCTGGGAGCATTTGTGCCAGGATTTATTTATTTGTTGCTTAACACCGCACTCAGCAATATTCCAGCTTTGTCATGGCGGTCTGCAAATAATCAAATCTGGACCAGACCATCCAGTGATTGACATCACGAGCACTGGTCCATGCAATTTGGATCATTGACATTCATCAACCAAGTCAGCGAGCTTGACCCCCAGATCCTGTCAGTCGCCTCTTACGACAAGAATAGTCTCCTTAAAAGGCAAGCATGAGTTGCTGAAGACCTATTCTTCCCCGGTTCTTCATGAGTCCAGGAAGTGTTTGATAATATGATTCCTATGATTGTATATTTCAGAGGCTATCGGTGCACACAGGCTGACATGGTGGCATTAAGCAGGGAGATCATGATGCAGGTGGTGCGCCGAGTTCAGTGTGCCAAGTATTTCAGAAAGGTGCATTCAGTGTTACTTTTAAAAGCTCACTTCGATACTGGGGGGCACAGGTGGCCAGTCCTCTAAGGTGCTGCGATTCGCTGTGCAGAGTTACGTCCCTTGGGCACACCAGAAACCTATGATTGTGGGTTCGAATCCCCGTTCGCCCCGATTATGTTACTAGGTTTGTCAGCACCATACCCGTGCTCGTGGGTTTCACTGAAGTGGTAAACATCTGAGACCTGCATCACTTCGGGCTTTCCTCCCACATTAAGCTGACACGCCGCGATATAACTGGAATACTGTTAAAAGCGGCGTTAAACCCAACTCACTCACTCACTTCAATATTGTCAAAGTGAACTTGTCTCATCTGTTTTTGTCCCTTGTCTGCCCATCAACCTGTCCATCTGTCATTTTAGTACTTAATGCAAATTTTAGACTACTGAAGATATCAATATCAATGTTCCCATAATATGTTCCACATGTCCTATGTTATGGCAAGGTAGATTTTCTATTTACACTATATTCAAATGGTCATCGTCACACCTCAGTGTAGAAAACCTTTAGAGGACCTTTTGGCAAAACTCACTCACTCACTCACTCACTCACTCACTCACTCACTCACTCACTCACTCACTCACTCACTCACTCACTCACTCACTCACTCACTCACTCACTCACTCACTGTTATTTTATTTATGTTTTGAACATGTAAGAGTTCCCTTCAAGCACGGGAACCCTCTATTATAATTTTAGCCTTGACATTGGAACACAAGGAATTTCGAACCAAAGGCCTGCAATATACTTGTGTGTGTGAGTTACATTAGCATCCTGATTTTTAAGGTAACTACAACAATGAAAGGTTATGTTCTTTCAGATGGCACACCCTGTGACTAAGATCGAGGATCACTGGATGCCATGTCACCAAGATGATGAAGGAGCTGTAGAGATGACCTGGATGGATGTGGATGCAAAGAAATTTTTAGAGCCGGACATAGTAATGGTATATTTACTATTGAGGACATTGCCAACACATATGCAACATATTTCTAATGTATGAGGGTGCTGGGGATGTTGTCCTCATTATCTTCTTTGTTTCAGTGTCATATTGTCCTGTTTCAATGTGGTGTCCTGTGTTTCAGAGTGGTGTTCTGTGTTTCAGAGTGGTGTTCTGTGTTTCAGAGTGGTGTCCTGTGTTTCAGAGTGGTGTTCTGTGTTTCAGAGTGGTGTTCTGTGTTTCAGAGTGGTGTTCTGCATTTCAGAGCGGTGTACTTTGATTTCAGAGTGGTGTTCTGTGTTTCAGAGTGGTGTTCTGCGTTTCAGAGTGGTGTTCTGTGTTTCAGAGTGGTGTTCTTGTGTTTTTCAGAGTGATGTCCTGTGTTTCACAGTGGTGTTCTTAGGTTTTCAGAGTGTTGTTCTCCTGTGTTTCAGAGCGGTATTCTGCATTTCAGAACGGTGTACTTTGATTTCAGAATGGTGTCCTTTGATTTCAGAGAGGTGTTCTGTGTTTCAGAGTGGTGTTCTTGTTTTTCAGAGTGATGTCCTGTGTTTTAGAGTTGTGTCCTGTGTTACAGAATGCTGTTCAATTGTTTTTCAGAGTGATGTTCTGTGTTTCACAGTTGTGTTCTTAGGTTTTCATAGTGGTGTTCTCCTGTGTTTCAGAGTGGCGTCCTGTGTTTTAGAGTGGTGTCCTGTGGTGTTCAATTGTGTTTCAGTGTGATGTTCTCCTGTTTTTCAGAGTGATGTTCTTCTTTCTCTGGCTAACTGCAGTGGCACAGTCGAACCGGGGGAAGACAGACAGATGTCTGACTGGAGGGACATGGTTACTTAATTTCATTGACATGTTGAGTCAGCTGACCAAAATGAACTTTGCATGCCCTGGAAGCCTGGGTTTCAGTGCACTCTTATCTTCACATTTAACCTGGATGAGCACTGATAACTTTAGTACCATCTCTGTGACACAGGACCACAGACAACATTGTCACTGTGGGCTGAATTGGTGATGGGTTGGTCACAATGACTCCTGTGTATGGATCTTATGCTTATGTCAGGGACCACTAAGAGCAGCAGGTGCAGCAGCTTTAGCTTGTGATCCTGCTCCATGATGTAGAGTGATACCCGCACCTTCCACCACTTGTCATCTACCGGAGGCAAGGGAGTTACTGACTGTAAAAGTCCAGTTTCCACCCTTGCCGAACAAGGCTGGAATTTTGGGTTCGATGGTAGTGCCACCAGTGGCTATTACGAGTTATGTCCCTTCTACGTCCCTCCTATTGACCAGTCAGATTCCACCTTCCCGAAGATCATCAAATCATGTGAGCACCTTGATTACAAAAATGACAAGATTTGGAATACATCTGTTGACGCTAAGTTGATGGTACACATGCTTTGCAAATCCTGGAAGTACTTCTTATGGGCTGCATGTGGAAAGGCTCTTCTGTTACAAATGTTTATCAGCAAGACATGATGATTTTGACGAAATCAGTTGGACAGCCCGTAACTGTCATTCAGAATACCCTGCGTTAAACATTTTGATGTTACATGATTAGCAACACATTCCAAATCTGGTAAGCAATTGATTGGCTGAAAGGTCATTCTGGCATGACCCGTAATAGGATGTCACTGGATGTATAGGAGATAATATGTTATTGACCAAACCTACCTATGCATATAACTGTGATAATACAACTTTCAATGTGAAATGCTTATTCCACATTTTTTTTTTTTTTTTGATATTATCCAGTTTCTTCTTTTATATTATTTTGTATCATATGACTATAACTAACATGTTGTGCACGAAGATCCATTTCATGCATGTAATTTGGTCTAGAGTGGTGCAATCCGTTGGTCGTGACAGGATCATTTGGTCTTTGGTTCGAGTTTTCTCAAGCTGACATGCTGTGATATGACTTAAGTACTGTTCGAAACAGTATTAACTCACTTCTTTCACAATACATCTGATTATTGTTTCTTATGTATATAATTAAATAATTATTGTGATGTAAACTGCTTTGTCCTCGACTGACGAAGAGAATACAGTTGTATACTCCAAACTAGGTGAGATTATTATAAACAACAAACCAACCAAACCAACAAACGTTGTTGTGTTATCATCTTCATGGTTTTAATGTGTTTGTTTTTACACGAAATGTATATTGATGAAAGGTGCATAGCAACCCACAATCATTGAGTTGGCAGAAAAAGACCAGGTCTGATCAGAAAGTAGGCCACTGTGCCTGAGACGACTCCTACAAGCACAGGCATGGTGCTGACTGAGCAGAATACTCAAGCGTGAACCACAATGAGATGAATCTGCATAGACAGCCGACCATTACTGTCCTGTCTTGACATTCAATTTCATCTGATTGTTTGATTCAAAATAAAACTTGTCAACCCAGTGCGTTGTTCATGTTCTCCAAGTATTCCTCCATTTGCGAGGTTTTTCTTTGACAGGTACCAAAGTATGTCCATGTCCAGAGTGATGTTCCGTTTCCTTTAAGATAGATGTACCTGAGGCAAGCAGTGATTTTATTCTCCATTTTATTTTATTGAAATATGTTTATGTGTAAAAGTGGCTGTACAATGCTTGTCTTTATTTGCCTGGCCAAGACTCAATTATTTTCTGATAGCTTTGCAGTTAAAGCATCCTCTCGCCACGCCAAAGGACCAGTTTTGATTCCCCTCATGGGTACAATGTATGAAGCCTATTTCTAGGGTACCCCACCGTTATATAAACGTTGTAAAACCATACTCTCTCACTGGCTGCATTTGAACCAAATACGCAAACAGGCAGCATATTTCTGAAGGGGATAACAGATGATGCTCCGTCCTTTGCCACAAGAAGTTGTCAGCAGTGTTCAATAGGGCAAGAGGAAGCCTCAAAGATGATCCAGGATGAGGAAGACCTTCAGCTGCAACCACTATGGAGAATGTTGATGAAATACATAATATGGTTATGGATGATCGACGACTCACCATGTGTCACACAGGCAGAGCAGTGGGCATCTCTCATCAGAAAGTTGGTTGCTTGGTTGGTTTGTTGTTTTACGCTGCACTCAGCAATATTCCAGCTGTGACCGCGGCCTGTAAATAATCGGGGGGCACGGGTGGCCCAGTCGTCTAAGGCGCCACGATTTGCTGTGCAGATTTGTGTCCCTTGGGCACGCCAGAAACCTATAATTGTGGGTTCGAATCCCGGTTCGCCCCGATTATGTTTCTAGGTTTGTCAGCACCATACCCGTGGTAAACGTCTGAGACCTGCATCACTTCGGGCTTTCCTCCCACATTAAGCTGACCCGCCGTGATATAACTGGAATACTGTTAAAAGTGGCGTTAAACCCAACTCACTCACTCACTGTAAATAATCGAGTCTGGACCAGACAATCCAGTGATTGACATAATGAACATCGATCTACGAAATTGGAATACGATGACATGCTTCAAACAAGTAAGCGAGCCTGACCACCCGATCCCGTTAGTCGCCTCTTACGACAAGCATAGTCGCCTTTTACGGTAAGAATGGTTTGCAGAAGACCTTTTCTACCCCGGATCTGCACGGGTCTCATCAGAAAGTTGAGAACCTTTTGCCGAATGAACTGGAAATGACAAAGGTTTCAGCACGACGGGTTCTAAGGTTTCTGAATCCTGATCAGAAACGATCCTTGTTCATCATCTCTCGTTAGACTTTAAGTTGTTTTAAAGGAGACCCAGCTGATTTTGTTGAGCAATTTGTCACCACGGACGATTCTTTTGTGAACCACTATCAGCCAGACTGAACAACAGTCAAGGCAGTGGAAACATCTCCTCTAAAGAAGGTAAAGTCGGTTGGCTCCATCAGCTATCATGGTGATGACGTTTGTTCTCTGGGATTCCAGAGGAATCAATCCTATTGGTGGACAATCTCCTGAAATGTCAGACCATTAATGACCAATATTATGCCTAGGCAACTGTGTGAGAATATCCAGTCTAAAGCCCGGGCAAACTCACTGAAGGTGTGATGTTTCACTCGGACAATGCACTTGTTCACACATCTGTTGTCACCATAGTTGCAATGCAGGAATGTGGCTTTGAACTCCTTGAACACCCTGTTATACACCAGCATTGGCTCCATGCGATTTCCACATCTTCCCAGACTTGAAAGAACTGTCTGGAAAACATTATGCAAATGATAATGACGTCATTTATGTTGTGGAGAACCTTTTATACTACCAGGTCTTCCACTCTAGTGGGACCAAAACGTCCGCTCCACAATGCGATCGCAGTGCTAAAGAAATCTTGACACTCATACTTTGACTTACTACTGTCGCTTTGTGGAACGGGGCCCTGGGCGTTCCAGCATCGTTTACAGAAGTGTGTGGACCTCGGAGGGGATTGTGTTGAAGAATATTTAACAACTAACTCCATCAACACATTTCATCATTGTAAGGCTCAGAGCTTTTCAGCCACCCCTCGTGCCGTTGTGGAATTGTGTTCGTTTGTGAGTAATAAAGAACTAAGCATTTTGGCCCCATAACAGGTACCCCCTCTGTGGTCTCGTGGATAGAGCGTCTGTGGTTTGATTCCCAGCCAGGTCATACCAAACGACGTTAAGAGATGGTACTTGTTGTTACCCTGCCTGTCGCTCGGCATTTAGGGGCTAACACAAGGATTGGTCGGGGTGGGGTATTCATATTAAACTGTAGCATGATAGCTTAGTGGGGTAGCACTATGAGACAAGCAGCCTCACACACACACACACACGTGCATGCACATCGCTATATAGGTGCAATAATCTTGGACGCAACGATAAACCCCATTTCGCCTCACCTCACCTCTTCAAATATTCTGGAATGACCTGAATATATGACACCAGTGTGTAATCTGTCCAAAGTATGGTGACATTTACAGTGTCTGATATCGAATGAGGTCATCGCAAGGTAACCATGCTGGGCAACCCACCAATGGAGGTTATCGCATATAGGCCACCAGGGCTACACATCAATAAAGGTCATCGCAAACTGACCAGGCTAAAACATGGATAGAGGTCATTGCTTGAAGGACAAGGGATTATGGTGATCGGACGGTGGCCCATAAGGGACATGGAGTCTGTATTTCAATATTTTGATGTTTCACTTACTTAGCAAATTAACACAATTTTTTCATACAAATATGTTATAGATCATGTATAAAAACAACCGAAACATGGAAAATGTACTTTCTAGGAGCTATTGAGTCGCTGAAATGTGAAGCAAAAATGTCAAAAACTAAAATGGAAATGTCAAAAACCAAAACGAAAAGGTCAAAAACTAAAATAAAAATGTCAAAAACAAAAACGACAATGTCAAAAACAAAAGCGAAAATGTCTAAAACTAAAATGAAACCACAGAAAACTATTCCCACCGAGGTGATAATATTTCCACCGCGGTGGAAATAGTTTTCTGTATTTTCTCTTTAGTTTTTGACATTTTCATTTTAGTATTTGACATTTTCGTTTCACATTTCAGCGATTCAAAATCTTCTTAACACATGATTTATCACATATTTGTAAGACAAATCGTGTTGATTTGCAAAAGGTTACGATAAAAGTAGGTGAAATATCAAAATATGGAAAAACAGACTCCATGTCCCTTATGGGCCACCGTATGATCGTGTTGAACCAGAAGAATATATGTTTTGTAAATTCAGTTTTGAAATATCTTGTTCCCGCCATTGGACTCTCAGTGGGGCAACTTGAGGTGCAGACGGTGCCAGTTGTGACGTCACAATCAATTTTCGTATTACTGAAAATTCAACCGCAATCAGATATATCTCATTCTTATTTCAACAAACTAACCATACATTCGAGAATCACAAATGACGATATTGAAATAAAATATTCCGCTAACAAAGTAATAATAAATGCTTGCTGTAAAAGGCGACTACGCTTGTCGTAAGAGGCGATCGGGTGGTCAGGCTCGCTGTCTTGGTTGATGCATGTCATCGTATCCCAAATGCGTTGCTCGATGCTCATGATATCAATTACTGTGTTGTCTGGTCAAGACTTGATTATTTACAGACCGCCATCATGTAGCTGGAATATTGCTGAGTGCGACGTTAAACAACAAACAAACACTATATACCAGTTCATCACTTGAGTTCATCTTGGTGTATAAGTATGTGAATCCCTGCTGAAATAATAGGGTTTTTTATTTCGTATTTCTGATACGCACATAGCGATCTTAACGCTAAGATGATCGTAGCTCCAATACTTTAACATAGGCTTACGATAGCCTTAGCGCTGAGATCGCTTTGTGCAAGTGGGTCCAGTTCTTCAAGAACCCGAATTCAAACTGGCCATAGTCGTTTATCTCTTTGGTGAAACCCACGAGCACGGATATGGTGCTGACAAACCTAGAAATATAGTCAGGGCGAATCTTGGATTTGAACCTATGATCTTAGGTGTCTGGCACACCAAAGGCAGGCAACTCTGGACAGCGAATCAGACGTCACGCATGGACATTAATAATAGAATTGCGGCTCCATCGGCGTCCTTTGAGACCTTGCCCGACTGACCAGACGTGGTAAGGCTTGATGCTCTGAATTGTTCCTTTTGATTATTTATTTAACTCGTCATGCGTTAAGTTTTGACTGGCCATACAAATGTTAACTTACAAAAAATGACGAGCTGACTTTCATAACCAAAAGTGTGTCTATGACAACAGCAGGGGTGATATGTAATGTGACCAACAATAGTGTGTGTGTCGAGTCGGCGTGGGGGCGGTCGGGTAGCCTAGTGGTTAAAGCGTTCGCTCGTCACGCCGAAGACCCGGGTTCGATTCCCGACATGAGTTCAATGTGTGAAACTCATTTCTGGTGTACCCCGCCGTGATATTGCTGGAACATTGCTAAAAGCGGCGTAAAACCATACTCACTCGAGTCGGCGTTGTGCATTGACAAATGCGCAATGGAGACATTACCGGCAGAAAATGCCCGTGACGAATGACCAGTAATTTCATGGCTCAGAATCATTCGTGACCAACTCGTGTTATTCCGGGACAAGCCGAATAGCGACTCGTGCCCCTCTCATGGCATTCGTGACAAACTCGTGTTATTCCGGGACAGGTTACGGAAAGGGGCGAGTGGTGACGAATGGGTTCAGAATGAACTGCTACAACCATAACGTGACGTCATCATGGTTTGAGAAGAGAACGTGCACCGCATCACGCTCTAGAAATCGGAATTCCACTAAACACCCTGTCTCAGTATCAGCGAGGTCGTATTATAAATATTACAACTGTATGGGAATGTGATCAGGTGTTGCTTTTCTCGATAAAGAAATGTGAGTCCGCTACCTTAGTATACCAACCTTTAACCCAAGATCTGATCCTCCTATAACGACGCAAATTCACTTTTGTTGCTTCCACTAGGAAGTGTATCTTGTCCAATGAGGATGGGACTTTTTCCGGTGTCGGTGGTGTGCTTGATAGGTATGTATGTGTGGTACGTGTCTGTATTCAGTGCTATCTCACATGCCTCTACTGTCAAGGATTAAAAGGATATTAGATAAAGTATGTCCACCGTTTTAATCAATTCAGTGACAGACCTTGTGTCTTTTATAGTGTTTTTTTCCCCTTCATGCACTGTATTACATTTATGAGTGGTCCAGTGGTATGAGGGACCGCTATTCATTCTGAGGGTTGCGTCCCTTAACAGTGCCAGGATCTGCTTGTTATGGGTTTCAATCCCCGATTCGTTCTGACAATGAGTCTTGATTTGTGAGCTACCTGTATGTTTCCTCCTGTTTCACCTGAGTGATCTTTGTCACCTTAGGTATCTCACCCACATATAGCTGTCACACCATATATATGTAACTGTCTTTTATAGTTTCTCACCCGCACATAGCTGTCACACCATATATATTTAACTGTCTTTTATAGTTTCTCACCCACATATAGCTGTCACACCATATATATGTAACTGTCTTTTATAGTTTCTCACCCACATATAGCTGTCACACCATATATATTAAACTGTCTTTTATAGTTTCTCGCCCGCACATAGCTGTCACACCATATATATTTAACTGTCTTTTATAGTTTCTCACCCACATAAAGCTGTCACACCATATATATTTAACTGTCTTTTATAGTTTCTCACCCACATAAAGCTGCCACACCATATATATGTAACAGTCTTTTATAGTTTCTCACCCGCACATAGCAGTCACACCATATATATGTAACTGTCTTTTATAGTTTCTCACCCGCACATAGCTGTCACACCATATATATGTAACTGTCTTTTATAGTTTCTCACTCACATATAGCTGTCACACCATATATATGTAACTGTCTTTTATAGTTTCTCACCCACATAAAGCTGCCACACCATATATATGTAACTGTCTTTTATAGTTTCTCACCCACATAAATCTGTCATACCATATATATGTATCTGTCTTTTATAGTTTCTCACCCACATTAAGCTGTCACACCATATATATGTAACTGGATACTTTTTGAAACACCAATTCACTAAATATTATCCTCTTTCCGGCAGCAGCCACTTTATGTCTGTTACATGTCAGTACCCACTGTGACCATCTCATTCATCAAAAATTCAATACTCGGAACCACTCGCTTCCCTTGTATGTAAACAATATTCTGATTTTGGACGCAATCCTCGATTACCCATCGTATTATGTTCCAGTCAAGTAGACCGCCTCCGTGGTCTAGTGGTAGAGCGTCCGCCCGGAGAGCGGAAGGCTCGGGGTTCGATCCCCGGCCGCGTCATACCAAAAGACGTTAAAAGATGGTACTTGTTGTTAGCCTGTCTGGCGCTCGGCATTAAGGGGCTGAAACAAGACCTTTTTCGCGTCGGAGTCAGTATACTGTGTCTGAGTGGGGTATTCATGTTAAACTGCGGCATGGTATCTCAGTGATCTAGCAGTATAAATCGGCATTAGTCCGGACTAGTACAAGCAGCCACACAAACACACATGCACGTCGCTATATAAGTGCAATAATCTTGGACGCGACGTTAAACCCAATTTCACCTCACCACCTCCTGTCTAGTATGATCCACACCCTGGACCTATTCGCTAAAACAGCTTCGTTTTGAGCCACATTCTTATGGCACGAAGCTGAAAGGAGATATCAATTCAAAACAATTCTTTCCTAGTTCTTTTCTTGTGATAAGAGACGTCACTCCGAAACTAAGCCATGGTTGAAAATTGGTCCAGTGTTCTTGCCATAACATAAAGGACACACCATACCCTGGATGATCGATGATGATTGAAAATTGGACATCTTGTTTGGTAATTTTGTGGATTGTTCATTAAGAAGTATCTTTATATTACAGTTTGCAATGGTATCCAAGCTTCTCCCATACAACAAAATGTACATCCTGCTGTGGATGATGCCAACGCAGGGGGCAACGTTGCGGTGGCTAACCTACTGAAAACGTTTGAGAGCATTCCTCTCCTGAAGAGCATGATTGAGAAATCTGGCCTCGACTTTACAGAGCTTCAGCTCTTACTGGGAGAGAAGAACCTCATCGGCCAGCTCATTCAGAATGTCTTCAAACTCAGCCCCATCTCTGGACAAATCATTGACGAAGCTGCCAAGACAAACGTTGAGCTCCGGATAGTTCTTGCTCTTGCAAGAGGACAAACACCAAATCTCTTCGACCTTTTTAAACTAGCCACCGCGAAGCCCGAGAACATGTTCCTGGCTGTCGACAAGGCTGCTTCCAATAACAAACAGGCCCAGTTCATCAAGGAGAAGATGAAGGAGCCTCATCCAAACATGACCTTCATTTGGGACATGATCACTGGGAAGAAGCTTGAGATGGTATCATGGACAATGATAAATATGCCGTAGCTGGAAGTTCAAAAAGGAAGAACAGGCATTTGCTTGAATTGTTTGAATTCGCCGTGGCGAACTGGCGACCACTGGAGAAAGCCCTGCGGACAATGTCCAACGTGCCGATCAACTTCGTGAAGGTCATGCAGTACATCCTAGGTCTTGACTTCTCAGCTTTTCGGTTTGCGATGGACAATGCACCGAAGCTGAACAATAAGAAGTACATGATAACAGACAACAAGGCCAAGTACACCGTTGTGAACCAATCCACTTTCAAATTTGATCCTGACGATGATGCGGATATCATTCACCTCCTGCAAGAAGTCCGTGTTAAATACCCAGGAATGCATGATACTTTTGCCGGCCCGGGTAGGTTGAAGGTAATTGTACGTCTGTCTTTTGTGATGTATCTAGTTTAATTCTACATGGTGGCCTTGACGTCTAACGCGCCGGAATCCTATGGCGTTTCCTTGACAGAAACATTTGACGAGGTTGCTCTGATTATGTTTATAGGTTTGTGAGCATCACACCCGTGCTCGTGGGTTTTTGAAGTGTAAGTGGTAAACGTCTAACTCTTGTGGTAAACCTTTTCATTGATACCTAATGTTTAGGAAAGTGTTTTGGGAGTACAGTCGAGATTCGTCTGTCAGCAAGGCAGATATTGGATTTTATAGTAAACACTTGATGAAATTATGACATTGGGATTGATATGAAAAAGATTATTGAAAATATGCCAGACTGTAATCACAGTCATCGCAACTAGATAACAATAGTTGTGTTTCTGTTTTATCTGGTAAAGCCTATAGTATTCTTATGAGACATTCTCTTTTAAAATATCCCTGATGCATGTATGTTTCAGCTCGAGATGCCGTTCTACATCTGATTACAGAAACTATAGAAATGATGAACCGATTGCTTGGATAAGACGAACATTCGGCTAACTAATGTACCCGCTGATGAAGGAAGCGAGAATGATATGTGTGAAAATGTGAAACCATAAATAAAAACGAAATAAACAATACACATATTGCCTTCAGTTGTGTAAAACAAAGCATTGATAGGAGTGTGGGCTTCTATAGCACATTGCATAATCTTTCCTGTCGCGAATTAAGGTAATTAAAGGGGATGTAAAGACAAATATACTGTCGATCTTCATTTTATCGAACTTGGATTCGTCGAATTCCCGGTTGTCTCGAACTCACCTCCCGTTCCGATTGACTATCGGATTGACAGCGGCGCTATGGGAAATTCGGTCAAAAGCTGCGGTATAACTTCCGGTGTATCCTTCTAAAACCAATCATGGTCGATTGACAACACCGTATCCAGAAAACAAACAGCGTGTGAGAAATGGCGGCGACAAATAAATAAGCGACAAGCAAAGTAATTTCTCTTGGTTAGTCTGACTACCATAATCATATGCATCAGAACGTGCTATCTAATATAATATGGGAGACATTTTTTATCAGTTCTTGCAAATAAATGGGCAGTAGTCAGGTATGTTCTTCGAACACGCTGACGATGATGGAGTTGCTGAAATTGTAGTCGAAACTGTCTGACATCTCGTCCATCCGTCCACCAGGTCCCAGCTGACAATAACAGTGTGGTAGCAAAAACACATCGTGATCTGGAATTGAAACTGTTAATAAAATAAATATATATTAATATACATGTAGTTAAAGTCCCAGTCAGCCACAGACGAATTGCATACTGTGTATTATCCCTGTTCACACTAACAAGGACTGGGCAAATACTAGATCTACCTTCAAGACGTAAACAGTGATTGAAATTATTGGCGAAGTCTAATATCTTGCTCTATAACTGATAACCTTTCCTTACGGATCACATCAAAATACATCGATAATGCATGCAAAACAGACCCGTGAAGATCCGGGGTAGAATAGGTCTTCAGCAACCCATGCTTGCCGTAAAAGGCGACTATGCTTGTCGTCAAAGGCGACTAACGGGATCGGGTGGTCAGGCTCGCTGACTTGGTTGATGCATGTCATCGTATCCCAATTGCGTAGATCGATGCGCATGATGTCAATCACTGGATTGTCTGGTCCAGACTCGATTATTTACAGACCGCCGTCATATAGCTGGAATATTGCTGAGTGCGGCGTTAAACAACAAACAAACAAACAAACAAAACAGCATGCAAACATATTTTTGCCGAAAATAAGTAGTCCGTATCGAAGGTGAATTATAAAAAAAAAGGCCCATAGGCTACTTTATTAAAATCGCATTGTCTGGAGAAAACGTTGATTAAACCACTTACCCGTTTCTCTTCTCCGTTTTTTGTCAGCCATTTTTCGCACGCTGTGACGACAGGAACTGTTGAAGTGTCAAGGACGTGGCGTGGACGGAACATTAACAACTAAGGGAGGTCACTCTATTTTACAAGCGCTTCAATTAGTTGCCACTAACAATCACCAGAAAGAAACTTACATTATATACTGCCACATAACAATGTTTTGATTTTCTTCTCAGATGTATGACCCTGAATATGTTTTTAAGAAAAACACCTTGCAACAATGTTATTTTTGTGGCAGACAATGTCTCTTTTTCTCAACAGTCTGAAGCATAATTAGTTTTTTTTCATTTCCGGGTCAATCCATTTTTTCGGTAAAATAACAGCAAATTAAATGGTCGGTCCTACAGAGTTTATGCCGGTAAAAGAAGAAACAATCAAGATATTGGTGTTTAATCAGTATATCAACCTTTCAATGAACACAGTTAAATAGTTTCAGGTAAGAACGAACAATATTATGGGTTTTTATTGTTTTTGTGGGGTTTTTTTTGTTTTACGCCGCACTCGGCAATATTCCAGCTACATGACGGCGGTCTGTAAATAATCGAGTCTGGACCAGGCAATCCAGTGATTGACATCTTGTGCATCGATCCACGCATTTGGGACCAATGACAAGCATCAAACCAAGTCAGCGAGCCTGACCACCCGATCCCGTTAGTCGCCTTTTACGACATTATGTGATTTCAAAGTATTCCATTGATCAGAATGACAACATTTAAGGCCTCAGTAAAGCTTTCATAAAGTTTGATGGTGTGCATGTATTTCCAAATTTGACGCATCAGCGACATTACACTTCCCAAATTTGACTTAAAACCATATGTTCCCGTACTTTTTCAGGTGAACACTCGACCTGCCGCTTTGCATACGTCTTTTATTTTGTGATACGACTCTTGATCAGAAGTTGTATAATCGAGGTTACAGCATTCAAGCTTTAGGCCTCAGTAAAGCTTTCAAAGTGTTTTATGGTAGACATGTAGAAGGCATTTCCAAATTTGACGCATCAGGGACAAAAATTATGTCCGAGGCAAGTCTCTATTTTGACTTATACCATATGTCCCCGTGCTTTTTTTCAGGTGAACAATTGACTTGTTTTTGCATGTGTTTGTGACGGATGCCCCGGAGGGTAGGATACGCCCACTCTTTGGTGAGTCATAAACACATGCTCATGATAAAGTCGGAATCGTACAAAGGATATTTGGAAAGGGTTCTGTGCCTTTTATTAACCAGGCTTTTGGTTGGGATACGTTGATTGAAAATCTCAGTTGTAAGCAATATTTGTCTTTCGATTTAATAGTCTGTGAAATTTCTGAAGTACTCAAACAAAAGAAAAATGTAGACGCCATAAGCTGGAACTGTATATTGCACGACATCAATATTGCCATCATTGTAATTCCTATACACAATTCCAGATAAGACACTCAATATTGTTTCTCTGTTGTAACTTTGATTTCCAAGCGTCCGCCCGGAGAGCGGAAGGTCCGGGGTTCGATCCCCGGCCGCGTCATACCAAAATACGGTAAAAGATGGTACTTGTTGTTACCCTGCCTGGCGCTCGGCATTAAGGGGCTAAAACAAGGACTGGTCGGCTCGGAGTCAGTATACTGTGTCTGAGTGGGGTACTCATGTTAAACTGCGGCATGGTATCTCAGTGTGCTAGCACTATAAATCGGCATCAGTCCGGACTAGTACAAGTAGCCACACACACGTGCATGCACGTCGCTATATAAGTGCAATAATCTTTCATCGATATTCCAGCAATATCACGGCGGGGGACACCAGAAATGGGCTTCACACATTGTACCCATGTCGGGAATCGAACCCGGGTCTTCGGCGTGACGAGCGAACGCTTTAACCATTAGGCTACCCGACCGCCCCACGTGATAGTATGACACACCACAGAACAATAGATTATCGCAACCTCAACAAAGCGATCTTAACGAACGGCTAACCGGTTCTATAGTACAATATACTAGAGCCATAGCGCTACAATACAGCATGCCGGTAAATATCAGGTGATTCGTTTGTGATAAATTTTCCGTTTTAATTAAAAGGTCTCATAATGTGCATAAAATCAAACATAGAATTTAAAAAAAAAAAATATTCATATGCGTCGCTTCCTATGTTGTTAGACACATTAAAAACTATCTATCATTGGTATTTGAACAATATGTCAGCAGAACGATTTATTTTAAAGACAAACTACCTCTCTCTTCTGATAAATTGTAAAACACCCGGCTGTCTTTCAAAACCATATATAATATTTATGCATTAGGTATTTAGGACCGCCTCCGTAGTCTAGTGGTAGAGCGTCTGCCCAGAGAGCGGAAGGTCCGGGGCCGCGTCATACCAAAAGACGTTAAAACATGGTACTTGTTGTTACCCTGTCTGGCGCTCGGCATTAAAATGCTAAAACAAGGACTGGTCGGCTTGGAGTCAGTATACTGTGTCTGATTTGGGTATTCATGTTAAACACACACGTGCATGCACGTCGCTATATAAGTGCAATAATCTTGGACACGACGTTAAACCCAATTTCACCTTACCTCACATTAGGTATTTATGGAATACTGTAAGGGACATTCTCGCGTTCTCGCGATCTCGCATTCTCGTGTGTTTGGCATATTTAGCTTGTCGAGATCGCGAGAATGCGAGATCGCGAGAATGTCCCTTACAGTATTCCATAGGTATTAGTGTCTTTTTAATATTCTCTGGTCCAAAACAAGGTCACGAGGTCTTGATCGCTTTACACAACACCGTCGCAGCATTCTAGCTTATATCAGTAACTTTAGGAACACGTGCTTTTTCGCACGTTTCCATAGATGCATATTTAATAGGGTAAAAACCAAGAGAACATAACTCCAAAACTTCTAAAACAACCTATGATTAGCATATAATGCCCCCATTTGGATTATAGAAACTATTTTTACCCAAAACATGATTGTCGTAAGACCCAACTAAAATGTGTACAATGAATGAGAAATGATGAATGATACGTAAAAAGTTACAGCCGTATCACCAGGTCAGTAGTGATTATTATGTAGGGACATTTTTAATGATTTTAATGGTCTCGTACCACAAAGCTATCTTAGCGCTAAGACGATCGTTTCTCCTGTACTGTAACATAGACAAAGTAGACTAACGACAACATAATGCTAAGATCGCTCTGTGGAACAGGGCCCTTGTACAACAGGCTTTCCAAAGTAGAGGAGCTATACGCATTGCAAGTGACTGTTGTTTAACGCCGCAGTCTGCATTATACAAACCATGTATAAATTGCCTGAAAGTAATTGAATCTCAATAATGGCAAACCAGTGACTGAAATCATGAGCAACACGTTAGATGGAGATGCACCTCGCACTCGATCTAATCCAGTCGCCTCACGACATGGGCCTAATCATGCGACACTGTGAACACAATTTTACCCTAAATTCCCACGGAGCAACATGGAGTAAGTTATTTATGTAAACAGGCTGACTGCAAAGCCTTGGGCGATGACGCGTAATGAATAATGATATAGTAACTCTAACTGCTCGTCTTTCATGTATTCATTTCTATTAATCACTTTAGTTGAAAACTAATGATTGTTTGTTTTTTGTTTGTTTGTTGCTTAACGCCGCATTCAGAAATGGTCCAGCTTTATGACGGTGGTCTGTAAATAATCGAGTCTGAACCAGACAATACAGTGATTGACATCATGAGCATCGATCCAGGCAATTGGTATACGACAATATGCATCACTTTAGTCAGCGAGCTGACCACCCGATCCCGTTAGTTGCCTCTTACGACAAGCATAGTCGCCTTTTATGGCAAGAATGGCCTACTGATGACCTATTTTACCCCGGATCTTCACGGGTCTTATGATTGACATAATATAAATATGTCCTACATGAGATGGCCCTCTTTGTTTGCTCACCTTCATTTCTAGGATTGGTATTTACAAGATGGGAGTGGCAGTACAACAACGCTGGTAACTTAGGGTCATAGGTACATGACATCTGGACGGACAGACCTTAACCGATCAATTACACATTGCCAGATAAGACCGTAAAGGTCAGTTGAAGAAGGACACAAAAGTTCGATCAAAGGTACCAATAATGAATCGGAAGGCGAGGACACGGGGATGGTAGAAAGCCAGCTCAAACTGCTTGGTGGCATTCCCTTTATCAAGTGTAAAATCGAGAAGTCGAGTTTAGCCGACCACGAGAAATTCAATTAAATAACTCTCGTGACAAAAAACATAATTGCATAGTCAGTAGGGGTATGCATTTGTGTCCAATCTGTTTGTTGTTAAAGCTGTATTCAGTCAGCACTAGTCTAACCATATCATAGCGGTCTGTAAATAATTGCGTCTGAACAAACCAGTGGTGGATGATATGAGCATTATCAACGCCGTCGGGTACATTGACACGCTATAGACCACGTCACCGAGACTGACCACCGGGCGGCTGCTTAGGTCGTCTTCTTCGAGACAGGCATGGGTTGCTTGGGATTAATTCTAACCAGGAATTCCCACTGGGTATAACCAGTGGTCGATGGCATGACCAACCCATGTTGTCAGGGTACGATGACAAATAATTGACAGGTTGCACAATGAGGTCACTTTATCTTCATTTTAGTCGGCTTTTGAGGTCACAAATGTATCACAGTTTCCTTAAAACGTGGCTTACTATTTACCATGGAATGTTTGTTTAAATATGCCAGCTTTTAAAGAGTATTTAAGTAAATTGTAACACCAGTAAATCACCCTTTTGCCCAAGAATCAATCACCTTTTTTCATTTAGACGTGTACCATTAAAACACACAACACTGTAACATGGATCAGATTAAAATGTTATCAAATGAACTAAGGTATTGAAAGACAGGTAAGGCCCGCTAAACGCATGACCTTATACTCCTTGACGCGTATACGCTTTGAAATAAATGGAGTTTAACTAAACCATTTACTAATCGGGAGTATATTAAGTAATTCAATTACTAATCTGGAGTATAAGTAAGTCAATTACTAATCTGGAGTATAAGTAATTTAATTACTAATCTGGAGTATAAGTAATTTAATTACTAATCTGGAGTATAGTTAAGCCAATTACTAATCTGGAGTATAAGTAAGCCAATTACTAATCTTGATTATAAGTAAGTCAATTACTACTCCGGAGAATAAGTAAGTCAATTACTAATCTGGAGTATAAGTAAGCCAATTACTAACTTAGGGTAACCGTAAGTCAATTACTAATCTGAAGAATAAGTAAGTCAAAAACTAATCTGGAGTATAAGTAAGTCATATAATAATCTGGAGTATAAGTAAGCCAATTACTAATCTTGAGTATAAGTAAGCCAATTACTAATCTAAAGTTGAAGTAAGTCAATTACTAATCTGGAGTATAAATAAGTCAATTACTAATCTGGAGTGTAAGTAAGTCAATTTCTAATCTGGAGTATAGGTAAGCCAATTACTAATCTTGAATATAAGTCAGTCAAATACTTCTCCGGAGAATATGTAAGCCAATTACTAATCTGGAGTATAAGTAAGCCAATAACTAATCGGAGCAAAGACTAGGAGACACAAATTATACTGAGTTTGCTTAGGTAGGTTGGAATAAACACAAGGTGTGGTCTTCTTGACATCTCTCTCGTGAACATGGCAGGGTTGAGGGAAGATGGTATGTTACGTCTAGGCGGGGTACACGACAGGTGCTATTTGATATATCTGCAAAAAGAATTCCACAAAAGACCGTTTTGTAAATTGAAAGTGTGTCGTTAAACCATGCACAGGTAGAATTATCACAGTCGGAGATTGTATGAGAAACACAACCCCCCATAATAATGGTGCACACGAACCTGATGTGATAAGAATTGTCAGCACCATGTGGAAGAGAGCCAGAGAAGAAACCACGCCAATGTCGACCCTGTAGAGGAAGAAGTTACAAGACAGAATCCTGTCTGAGTTGAACTCCTGGCATCTTAATACTCCAGTATCAGAAGCGGCCTTTACCGCCACCGACGACACACCATATGGCAGAAACTCTAACAACTTTCCATCCCCATCTCAAGACATTCCTGTTCAGATTCTTTTATCAAATCTAAAATCAACTTCAACTGCCACATCTATTTGTCTTGTATCTATGACCCTGTATCAGCAGAGTTTTATGTAGCGCTGTGAGCATTCACCTTGAGTATGAAGTTACAAATGTACTTATTGTTTTATTATTATGGCGAACCATTGGTTTACAGGCGGTGAAAGTGATGAGAAGATGCTGGCGTTCTTCATTGTTCTTCAGATACTCGGACATGGAAGGTTCGTTTTCAGCCTGTCCAACCCTGTGGAATTAACTCCACATCATCCATGCAAGACGAAATTCCAAGACCCTCCTTGTGTTTGTCCCCCGATTGACCACAGAAGTGCAACAAAAACTGAAAAGGCAATGCAGTTCAGATTAACCTCGAACAAGCTTCGGCCAGAGTCACGCCTGCTTCAAAAGTGTAACGTTATTTTAATTTCACTCAAGCCATGTGGAGGAAAGTGCAGAGCCTTGGATCAGATGTCCAGTACGAAGAAGACCCTGAGGTCAAAGTCTGGATTAGAAGAGCTTCAGCCCTGTCTCTCCCTCCTGTAGCAGATGCCTGGATTGAAGCCATGATGGAAAGTACTCTAGAAGCTGACACACCCATACATTCAACGACAACATTGTGACAACATGGGTAGATGATGACGTCAGATTCCCTATCCCTCTGCGGAACCATCACAACAACCTGGAAGGATTCCAACATCTGGAGACGTCTCTTCCTCCTCCTCATCCCAACATCTTTCGATTTGTAGAACCGATAAAAAACATTGAAAAATCTGAAACAGTCAGGGTGAGTCAGCTTGACCATGGCGCGCTGTACCCTAAGTAAGGAAGACTGTCTACCGTGAGAAGAAATCCTACCTGGCGAGATTATAGATTCAGCTGCAGCAACAACGGAAGACTTTGCACATTGGTGGGTACCTTAATTTATATTCCCCTGCACATTAACTGAAGCTGTAGTGTAATGTGATTGATCATGACTGTTTTATTAAATTATGTATACTTACATCCTACATTGTATTTTCTCATAGTCATAGTGGATCATTTCTCTTTAAATATAAGGTATAAGGTAGTTGTTTATTGGAGCAAACAACCATGCCCTATATTTTTGGCCCGTATCACAAGTGGGCCGAATGTCTTAACACCGTGGGTCCCTATTAATTTTGCCCGAAATTTGGTCACATTAAAAAAGGGCTAATACAATGTTTAGTTAAACAAAACTTTGATTCTGTTTGTTCAGTATCAATGTATTGTAATTTATTGATGTTTTAACAGAATCCCTCATTTAACAAAATTTGGTCATATTAAAAATAGGTCAAATACAATGTTTTGTTGAACTAAACTTTGATTCTGTTTGTTCAACATCAATGTATTGTAATTTATTGATGTTTTAACAGAATCCCTCATTTAACAAAATTTGGTCATATTAAAAATAGGTCAAATACAATGTTTTGTTGAACTAAACTTTGATTCTGTTTGTTCAACATCAATGTATTGTAATTTATTGATGTTTTAACAGAATCCCTCATTTAACAAAATTTGGTCATATTAAAAATAGGTCAAATACAATGTTTTGTTGAACTAAACTTTGATTTTGTTTGTTCAACATCAATGTATTGTAATTTATTAATGTTTTAAAAGAATCCCTTATTTAACAAATGCCCGTTATTCATGTTTGAGTTCTACTTGGTCCACTACCATGTTGCAAAATGTTAAATTCGCAACTTGCTTTCTGGGAAAGGAGCGGTGTAAAAAGAACGCTGACGTCGATAAAGGTAATCCAGATGACCCTGTTCAGAGATACAAGTGTGCACGTTCCCATACCTTTGCCGGAATACTGTCAATCTCCAGATTAGATCGCAGCGGACATCAAAGGAAGCAGTCATAATCAGCAAACTGGTCATAATTGACAAAATTATGAAGTTACCATTGGTGTTCGTATTTTGCCTTTTTGGTAAGTAGATATAGTTCACATGCCAATGCCATATTCCAACCAACGTTAGGCTTACCAGCTAATCTTATCGGCTAATCATAAATTTAAAAACTTCAAAATGTTGGCAGCTGAAGCGCTGTAAACTGCTATGCTCAAACGACTTCCATAAATCTCAACTTAATGCATATCGTCATATTTGTGAGTGAGTGAGTGAGTTTGGTTTTACGCCGCTTTTAGCAATATTCCAGCAATATCACGGCGGGGGACACCAGAAATGGGCTTCACACGTTGTGACCATGTCGGGAATCGAACCCGGGTTTTCGGCGTTACAAGCGTACGCTTTAACCACTAGGCTACCCGACCGCCCCTATCGTCATATTTGAAAATAAAAGCGACAAAACACTGTCCATATTCATAAGAAATATCTGTTTATAGCAGAGTCGATTGTACGATTCCGACCACATCATAAGCATGGGTTAATGTGATAACGGGTGTTCGCGGAACGGTGAGCCTTTCCAGCCCCATCAGTGGACCCCGTTACAAACACATCCAAAGACAAGTGGATTGTTGACCGGCAAAAAAAACACGGGATCACATTGATTCAACCAAAATGGGGAATTGCATGGGACATATTTGTTGTCACTGATGTGTCCTCCATGTGTACCATATAAACTTTTTGAAAGCTTTACCAAGGCCTTGAATATTGTAACCCTGATCAAACAACCTTTGAGCAACATTCGTTTGGTGTTCTTTGATATCTTCATTGAAAGAGCATAGTGCTCTTTGAAATCTTCATTGAAAGAGCATGGTGCTCTTTGAAATCTTCATTGAAAGAGCATGGTGCTCTTTGAAATCTTCATTGAAAGAGCATGGTGCTCTTTGAAATCGTCATTGAAAGAGCATGGTGTTCTTTGAAATCTTCATTGAAAGAGCATAGTGCTCTTTAAAATCGTCATTGAAAGAGCATGTTCCTCTTTGAAATCTTCATTGAAAGAGCATAGTGCCCTTGAAATCTTCATTGAAAGAGCATTGTACTCTTTGAAATCTTCATTGAAAGAGCATGGTGCTCTTTGAAATCTTCGTTGAAAGAGCCTGTTGTTCTTTGAAATTTTCATTGAAAGAGCCTGGTGCTCTTTGAAATCTTCGTTGAAAGAGCATGGTGCTCTTTGAAATCTTCATTGAAATGGAACTACTGGAATATTGCTCTACGTATAACAGACGGAAACCTATCATGATCAACACGCTCATTCTTTCATGAAGAACCAGGGGTCATAACTGATTTTTGTGTGACCCATTTACATTATGTTCACCGCTGTTTTGCCGTTTACGCTCAATATAATCTTATTCGACAGATAATCAACTGATTAGTGTGTGTCTCTGACGTTCTATATTTCATAGCCAAGTGTTATTGTGAGATTTGTTTCGCAAAACCTTAGGCCAAATAATGTTTCAAGCATTATTGTCCCCCACAGGATGGTAACTTCATGATGCAATTACCTATTTTGTCTTGTCTTGTCTTTGCGTGTGTTTTGTGACGGGTACCACCGGTGGATACGATCACTGTTTCGCGAATACCGACATCATCTGATTCACTACTTAGTAGTGATTTATAAACTCATGCTCATGATATAGTCGGAATCTTGCTGTGGACTGTGTGTTAAGCAGATGTTTCTTATGATAATTGGACAGTCTCCGTGATCTAGTGGTAGAGCGTCCGCCCGGAGAGCGAAAGGTCCCGGGTTCGATCCCCGGCGGCGTCATAACAAAAGAAATTAAAATGGAACTTGTTGTTACCCTGTCTGACGCTCAACATTAGCCACAAACACACACATGTGCATGCACGTCTCTATACAAGTGCAATAATCTTGGACGCGACGCTTAACACCATTTCACCTCACCCCACCCTATGATTATGGAAAGGGTTTTGACGCTTTTTTATTTATTATACCATGACTACTCAATATACACTTGTGATAATCTATGAATTAGCAGTAAAGTTTAGTTCCCTTGCTAAGTTAGCACTGACAAGTCCATGTTACGCGAAAATACAATCAACTGAAATCTATGAAAACATCAAATATTGTTTCATTGTCGTGAAACACATTAAGTAAGAATTATAGACTAAATTCAAGAAATAACAAACTAAAAGTGGATACAACAATCCTCATAAGATAGTTGCACTTACATTGAGACCACATTGGATCCGAGAGAGATCATCCCTTGTCTTGGTTATCTTGTGAATAGAATTATTCAGGAGACACTATTAGCAGTAAAGCATGAACGATCAAGCTATGCAACGTCATTGATTCAATCTGAATGATGATTTCAATATATCATATCATCATTCAGCAGACATATAGGATTATTTTTTTTGGAAGATTAAGCCATAAAACTGTCGAGAATAAATATATTATACTTAACTTTTCTAGCATTCTTCGTTTTCTTTATAAAAAACACGACTATATAACAAATCATAGTTCTAATTTACATTTTTGTCTAAATACAACAGTAATATAAAATACATTATCAGTTTTCAGCCACTGGGGCAATGCATCTCCTGTCAAATACGACAATGAAGAAGGCGAGGACACGGGTGTAGTGGCTAATCTGCTGAAACTTTTCGACGAGGTACCAGTACTCAAAAGCACGATCGAGAAATCCGGGTTAAGTTTTGATGAAATCAAACTTCTATTTGGAGAACAGAACTTGATTGGGCAGCTGGTCAACAACATTTACAAGTTGAGTCCGGTGGCTGGAGAAATCATAGACGATGCTGCCAAAACCAATGTAGAGATTCGTGTTGTACTAGCTATTGCACGAGGGAAAACGCCGAATCTGTTTGACATTTTCAAACTCGCTACCTCCAAACAAGAGAACATGTGGACGTCTATAGATAACGCTGCCTCCCAAAATGAACATGCCCAGTACATTCTTCAGAAGATGAAGGAGCCGAACCCAGACATCCCCAACATCTGGAACATGCTTACAGGAAAACATCTTGAGACGGACGGCATCGTCGACAACGACAAATACGCCATTGCTTCCAGCACCAAGAAGAAGAACAGGCACTTGTATGAGATGTCCAAGTTCATTGAAGCCAACTGGAGGCCCCTGGAGAAAGCTTTCCATGTTTTGGCCAACCTTCCTATCAACTTTGTGAAGGTCCTGCAGTACATCCTTGGTCTTGACTACTCGGCATTCCGTTTTGCCATTGCTCCTTCTACTATGATGAACGGCAAGAAGTACATGATCACAGACAACAAGTCCAAGTACACAGTGGTGGGCCAGGGCCAGTCCACCTTTGATCCTGATGACGATGCCGACATTGTTAATATCCTTAATGAAATACGGGTCAAATACCCTGCAATGCACGACACCTTTGTTCGAACAAACGGCAATACTGCTGGTGAGTGGCCATGTTTTGTTTTTTTGTTATCCCCGACTTCCAGACATCGGGAGGCAAAGGGTGACTCAGTAACCTAAGACGCCACATTTCTCAGCGTGGAGTTGCACCCTTTGGGCCTGCCAGAAACCTATAATGGAGTGAGTGAGTGAGTAAGTGAGTATGGTTTTACGCCGCTTTCAGCAATATTCCAGCAATATCACGGCGGGGGACATCAGAAATTGGGCTTCATACATTGTACCCATGTAGGGATTCGAACCGGGGTCTTGGGCGTGACGAGCGAACGCTTTAACCATTAGGCTACCCGACCGCCCCCCGTTGGATCGAATAGTACCAAAATGGTAAATGTCTTAGACCTGCATCACTTTGGGCTTTCCTCACAATTCAAGCTGATACGATGTGATGTAACTCAAATACTGTTTTGTTTTATTTGTTTCTTGTTTAACGCCGCACTCAGCAATATTCCAGCTATATGAAAATAAGTCTGTAAATAATCGAGTCTGGACCAGACAATCCAGTGATTGACATCATGAGCATCGATCCACGCAATTGGGATACGATGACATGTATCAACCAAGTCAGCGAGCCTAACCACCCCATCCCGTTAGTCGGACAAGCATTGGTTGCTGAAGACCCATCATACCCCGGATCTTCACGGATTAAAAACTCATCAAAGCGGCGTGTTACCAAACTACAAATGTATAACTCACCCCTCGACGTCGTTACGTTGACTGACCTATCAATTACCGGTATGAGTCGCCATTACGTATGAATGACCAACAATTATGTTACATGTTTTCAAACATCCGTGTTTCTGTTCAATCCTTGTATGGTGGAGCAAAGCATACAATGCCATGACGTACATCAGTTGTTGTTTTAATGTGACGTACATCATACTTGCTGTTTCAGCTCGGACAGCGGTGCTTCATCTGGTTACAGAGACAATCGAAATTCTCAATCGGTTGATTGGCTGAAAGGATACGAAATTGACAGGATGATTGCCTGATTGACGGAAACAACACGACCTCAATGAATGACGTGCTGGTATTGTTGGTTGTGTATTTGTGTAATTCTCATATGAATAATATCATTACACCAGGCATTAAATCTTATATATTTCAACCTCCTTTATATTGTGTATTCCTTCTTTTCTATTACATTTTATGTGTTTGCCTCTGTCATTGGTTGGGGCACGGGTGGCCCAGTTGTCTTAGGCGCCGCGATTCGCTGTGCAGAGTTGCGTCCCTTGGGCACGCCAGAAACCTATGATTGTTGGTTCGAATCCCGGTTCGCCCCGATTAAGTTTCTAGGTTTGTCAGCACCATACCCGTGCTTGTGGGTTTCACCGAAGTGGTAAACGTCTGAGACCTGCATCACTTCTGGCTTTCCTCCCACATTAAGCTGACACGCCGTGATATAACTGGAATACTGTTAAAAGCGGCGTTAAACCCAACTCTCTCACTCACTCTGTCATTAGTATTCAGCCGTTGGTGTTCGTGGTCATCATATTGTGCAATGCACTGAAAATGAACGTCAGGTCAACTGGCGGTTTCTATGAATGTGTGACGTGTCGAGTGAGAGAGTATAGTATTACGCCACATCTTGTGGTCAGACGAGGCCAAGGCTATAAAGGCAAAACAAGTACTTTATAAATTACATCAGGTGCCAAATTAGGGCGTTTTCCGTCAGCCAATGACAATAACATTTTGTAACATTTATCTACTTGGGTGCATTTGTAATATATTGAGCAGTTTCTTAGTTTGCAATTGAATGCTGCCGCATTCGTCAAAGGCTACTGCATTCGGTGCCCTATACACTGCATGAAAGAAAAAAGGACGAAACTTTCGGTGTACAATTTTAACACTTTTTCGTTTCTGAAACTCCCAGATTTCTGCTCCATATATTAATATTGGTACAACCTTCCCTTCAAATATATTAAAGAGTTTTAAAAGCTTTTGTCCATACCAATTTGGGGGTAACCACAAGCCCTAGATGTTTATATGCGGTAACCGTTTCAATATTTTCACCATTATTTAACCTCCCATTTTGAAAACAATAATTTTACTTATATCAAAATTAATTTCCAGACCTCACTGATGAGAATATAAATACAATGCATCTAATCTGGACAACTTCATACATAAATAAAGAAAAGAATACAGGACTGAGGATGCAACCTTGTCTCCACAGGAACTATCTAAATATTCAGTCAACCCTTTACCACTATCATGAATAACTGTTGTTTTTACATTAATGTACATACTTTTTATAACATCTGAGACATTTCCATTGATAACATTTTTAAAAAGCATATACATCAATTAGCACCTATCACCCATATCAAATGCCTTACGGAGGTCATCAAAGGCACAATATATGTTGGCTTTCTCACGGGTGATGTACTTTAGAACAACGGCTTGCAAGATAAAAATATTGTCAACGGTCGAATAGTCTTCCTTAAATCCACCCTGAAATTCACCAATCAAACCTTGCAAATAAAGATAACATTCTAATCTCTTATTTAGCACAAAGGAAAAATATTAATACTCATACTATTAAGTGAAATTTCATCTAAAGTTATTGGGATCACCTTTCCTCTCCTTTTGGTGGTGTGGCTTAATTATTCCTGAAGACCATCATGTGTGTTATGTTACACAATAATACGACAAGATATGGTGTCATTACCTCTTCAGCATTTTTATAAAATTCAGACGGAATACCATCGTCGCCTGGTGACTGGTAACACTTGAGATTCCGAATATCATTAACAACATGTTGATCTACGAAGTCACTGAAATAATATCATCAATGCGAAGGCAGTCAACACATACTTTCTGGTTATGGTGTTTAAGATAATATAAAGCTTCTGCTGAAGAAACATTGTCCCAAGCTGAAGCAAGATGAACAATTCTTTCAATACTCCGCCCATGCTTAAGGTGCAACCGTAGACTTTCCAGAACGACTTGTTATTTATGTTTCATCAGTCTCCAGAAGGATGTACAGTTCCTATTACTTGCTGCATCATATATACTTTTAGTTACAAAAAGTTTACTATTGACCTTGCGTTGATTACATAAAGCTTTGAACTTATTTGTAGCTTCTCTAAACCTCTTAAAACTTTCTTGTGAAAATAGTTTCTAAATGAATTCAATCTTTTGTATTTCTCTCGCTTGGACTCCTCGCAATCGAAATCAAACAATTCCGGTTGTCTACGAGATAAATTATTACATTGTCTTAGCTTATCTCTGCCCCAAAATTGTAAAATATGTTGTAACTTCTCCACTGATTTATCAACATCAGGATATCCCCACTTTGTGAAACCATCAAACATGTCTCGTATCATACCTCTGTTCATGATGGTGGGATAATTTACTGATTTGTTAACATCCCATCTTTCCTCCCCTCTACTACAATCTCGAGTTGGTCGTTGAATATAATACAGAGGAAAAAACGGCACACAACGGTAAATGATCCGATTCAGTTGGTGATAAATTAAAATCTTTCACATGATCATAGAAATATAGGGGCGGTCGGGTAGCCTAGTGATAAAAGCGTTCGCTCGTCACGGGAAGACCCGGGTTCGATTCCCGACATGGGTGCAATATGTGAAACCCATTCTGGTGTCCCCCGCCGTGATATTTCTGGAATATTGTTAAAAGCGGCGTAAAACCATACTCACTCACTCATAGAAATATACGGACACACAAATGTAATATGGTGTACTGTACCTTAAGTCATCTTCATCTGAAAATCTTCCATTGAGTACGTTTTTTCACATTTCCAGGAAATCTCTGCGATAGTTGTTTTTTTTCAAGTTGAACATAAACATATCCGAGTATTGTTTTTTACCCATTAAATTTTCAACATGAGAGAAAAAAACCAACAAAGTCGATTCACTCATTGTACACTCAATGAAAACATGACGATATATTAACACTAATACATACTGCAACAGTTTCGCTAGAACGGCCAGCTTTCTTCACTTTGAGACGAACCTACTGAAATACAATACAACTTTCAAACGCATCTTTTAAATCCTCTTTTGATATAACCCAGGGTTCAGAGTGTAGACCCGGGAAGTTCCGGGGTAGAATAGGTCTTCAGCAACCCATACTTGCCGTAAAAAGCCACTTTGCTTGTAAGAGGCGACTAAAGGGATCGGGTGGTTAGGCTCGCTGGCTTGGTTGATACATGTCATCGTATACCATTTGCGTGGATCGATGATCATGATGTCAATCACTGTATTGTCTGGTCCAGATTCGATTATATACATACCGCCATCATATAGCTGGGATATTGCTTAGTGTGGCGTTAAACAAGAAAAAAAGAAACAAACAGTAAGAGTGTAACAATTATTGACATTCTCCCAATGTCAGTCAACAGATTGGGAGGTACCAAACCTAAGGCACCGAGAACAATGGGGAGTCGGACAACTTGGTACTTGGGATGCAAATGTGACATTTCGAAAGCGAGGTCTGCACATGTTTTTCCTCAATCTTGTGAATCACATTATTGTCAAAAGGGACAGAAAATTCAATTATATAAATGATTTCATTGGATTATTATTATTATTGTTGTTGTTGTTGTTATTATTATGACTGGTAAATATAAGCGATTGAGGGAAGAGCGAGGGTGGTGGGATCTATTGTTTGACAGGATTCTTCGTGTGAGGGAAGAGTTATTATCATTATTATTATTATTATTATTATTACAACACAGAGTCATCATCACAAGTTACCGTCCACTGTGTATATCATACTTGTAATATCCTTACATCAATATAACCGATGTACCACCTATTTGTACAAGGTTTAGTAGAGCTCATACATCATCCCTGTGACACATTCATCTAACGAGGGACCCAGGCCTCCAAGCCTCCCGTCCCCCCCTGCCTGTGCGTTGTCAGGCGATACAGGCATCAGCCGGCAGTTATTAGACAAGAGCCTCCCGTCCCTGGTACCCTAGCATCGCATGCCACCGTCATTCATTAAGTAGACCTTAGGTCGGAACATTGAAAAGGTTTTTGTTTTAAAATGTTAATTATCAAATTCGTAAAAATACTCTTAAGTGTATGTATGATGGTATTGTGAGATAGAACAATGTTTATCCAAAATCTTTGGTTTCATTGTAAAATAATTTCTAGAAGAAAATGAACATTTAAAATGCCACACTTAATTCTTTGCAATCTTTGGTCTCATTGTAAACAGCATTAAACGGAGATTTGGAAAATAATTTCTAGAAGAAAATGAATATTTACAATGCCACACTTAATTCTTTGCAATCTTTGGTCTCATTGTAAATAACATTTAAACGGAGATTTGGAAAATATTTTCTGAAAGAAAATGAACATTTACAATGCCACACTCAATTCTTTGCAATCTTTGGTCTCACTGTAAATAACATTTAAATGGAGATTTGGAAAATAAATTTGTTTGTTTGTTGTTTAACCCCGCACTCAGCCATATTCTAGCTATATGACCGCGGTCTATAAATAATCGAGTCTGGTCCACGCAATTGGGATCGATGACATGCATCAACCAAGTCAGCGAGCCTGACCACCCGATCATGTTAGTCACCTCTACCTCTCTCTCTCTCTCTCTCTCTCTCTCTCTCTCTCTCTCTCTCTCTCTCTCTCTCTTTATATATATATATATATATATATATATATATATATATATATATATATATATATATATATCTTTATATATATATATATATATATATATATATTGTATAAATATATATTAGTATATATATATATATATTATATTAGAGGCGACTATATATATATATATATATAATCACTGTCGGGTATTTGTAATGTTGATGTCAATATCAGTAACCTACATGGGATGTAAAAGAAAACTTAAGATCAAATTGAAATTGCAGCCTTGTGGCCTTCAAACAACAATTGGCTTTTATAGTTCGAGAAATGTATTTTCTGAAACATACTTTGCAAATGTACCTACATGTACTTAAAAAATATTGTGACCGTGTGGGAAAACGTGTGTACATATATATTTAACAAGAACAATCAGTGCACATTAGTGAGTGAGCAGCCGACGTCATGGAATCCATATCCGTAGAGTTTCCTAAACACTATTCTATCCTCTCCTTATCATTTAT